GGCTTAGTCCTGGGCAAACCAAAGCCCTTTTGGCGGAGCTGCTGGACCAGCTGCACCACTTGCGTCAGTACTCTCCTACCGTACCGACCGAGTTGAAGTAAACCGTCGACCGTTGGGGACCCCATCCCCTCCCCAACATTCAGCATACGGTCCCAGCCAGAAACGCCAAAAGGGCTGGTTTGCTTACCTCGGGAAAAAGTGGATAGAGGTGGGTGAAGGAGCGGAGTTCAACTGCTGTTGGTGGGCGGTTCATGTCCAAAGTGGGGGGGGGGAGTTCTCCACGAAATTTGTAACTCGGCTCCAAGTAGTACCGGAGACCAGGAAAAAATATCTAACTGCTAAACAGACACTGAGCGCAACCGAATATTCGTTTGGGCGCTATCGCAAGATATGGGGGCATTGTAGTGGCATTTGAAAGCGCCTAAAACAATCTTTTTTTCTCAAAAATTGGGACTAACCTTAGGCTGGGGAGAATGGGCGTCAGGGCGCGTGAGCGCTTTTCATTTTCACCGAAGTTCCTGCCCCTCCCAGGCTTAGGCTTAGAGAGTCCTTCTTCCGTCGTATAAGCGCTCTCCCCGATTCCACAAGCCGTGCTGGTTGGCTAAAGAATGCTTGGCCCCAAAAAATAAAATTTAGCAATTATAGCTGAAAACCAGAATTCTAGCCAAAAACCAAAATCGCTTAGCCGGCTACTGATGAACATTTTTTATGGCAGATTTGCCCATTTGTAGGGCCGATTGTGCATAAATCAAGGCAATTCGCTGTTTACTCCCACAACGATTCGTCACACCCGTGCCTGAACCTCGCCCCCCCCCCCACTCGCCATAAGCCGTTTCGATTTCTATGTAGAGCCATTCTCGACGAAGGCTCATTCTGTTACACAAGGGGAGCCTGAAAAAAGGACACTCGCTAATATTACATATCAGCGATTTTTTTCGTCGCACAGGGTATCGCTGTTGATGGAAATTCTACGGCAAAATATTCCTGAAATGTGCCCCCCCCTCCTTTTCCCTAACCTAGCCTATGAGTAGAAGCAAGCCCTCCTTCACTGCCCTCACGTCTTCAGAATATGACGTCATCTGCCGTCACCGTCGAGCTCAACGAGGCTTACCGTAATCGCTCCGACCTGAAGCTGCTACATAATTTCCTCAATCTGTTAAATGATAGATAGTTTCCTAGAGACAGTAACTCCGACTCTGCCGGGCTGCTTCCGAGCAGCACTTCAGACAACTCGTAAATAAGTAACAAGAAGTTCAGCCACTACCGAAGGAAAAGCTTAGTTGTCGGAATGCTCAGTACCGTGACATTTGCAACTTGGAAAGCCGAAACAATTACTGATATTGACCTTAGTTGTTGTCGGAAATGAGTTGTTTTGACACCGCGGAAGGGCACTGTTTCTGCCTAGCGTTTCGCGGAATGTTCGTGTATAGAATGGGAATATTAATGTTGTTTTGGCGTACATTTTTACCAATCGAGCGAAACGTAAGTTTATGAGCGAAACCCGGAAGACTCCGATTCACCTTAATCAAAAACGAGCCAAAAACTCTGTAATTCTCCCCGACTTAGTAGCTCACGATTACAAC